ATACGGGATAGTTCTAGACAAGAGAGCGTGAGAATTGTCACGTGATCTCGATGACGCAACAATATTTATCCTCGGTTACAGGTATCAGGCACATCGGACTTACAGAACATTGGAGGAGGGGCAGTTGTAAATCAATAAAAATCTTCTAACAATCAATAAAAACAGTAGAATATATTATTTAACAATTTCACACAATATCAAATACTGTACTGTACGTATAAATTAAATTGTTTGCTGTGTACTAGAAAATCGTAAGTCGTGCAAATAATGAGAATTAACTACAGTTCTTTGGCAAATTCTATACATTACTCTTAAGAGGCCAAAGTGAGCCATCCGTGTAAGCTAAATGAAAAGTAACAGTTAAATAAACTAAGATATTACAACAAAAACAGTCCCCCAATGTTAACATGTAACAATGAAAAAAACGCTAACTTAAAGTTAAAAATCAAAAAGAAGCTTTGTGCAAAATCCAATTTAAAGTCTCTAAAATAGCTGAAACTCTACAAATAGAATAAACAAAGGAGATACAGACTTTATATACAGAACAACACTAATACGAAAATAGCCACTTGGCTTATGATCATTCATCGTGCACGTGAGCTTAGTTCACTGGGATTTAAATGTTTGGACATAACAGCAACGGACTGTTACCTAATTCCCCGACAGCTGCCAATCTCAAAACGCCAGTAGTGAAATACCAATTGTCTTCCCTCCACAAAATAACATTAATAGCTAGTTAACAAAGGCGAATTTCGTGTGTACCTGAGAAAAGAGATGAACTGTTTACTAGAAGGACTCTATGCATCCAAACTGAACTGGAAAAAGTAGAGATATTTCCAAACTTTGCATAGTGTTACGACAGCGGAAGTCACGTGACGTTGGTAACACGTGATGAGTGTCTAGAAGATTCTCGAAGAGACTACGCGGAGGCTATTATCGTATATAAGTGCGCTAGACAAAGGAGAGAGGGAGAGTGGGGAACCAAGGATAGCAGATACAGAGATCGGAATTATAGTTGCTGACAGGAGGAGATAGAGACC